CACATCTGTTAATAATTGAACTGCTATTTCACACATAAAAATTTTGTCGCTTAAAATTCCAGTTCTTTATTTGCTACAAAGCCACGTGCTTTGTGGTTTCTGAATTATTTCTACATTACAGGTAGTTTGAGGGGTACAACAAATTTCCTTTCTTAAAGACAGTTTTCATAATCATTCAAAAAGTGAATCTAGAAAGATTCGCTGTATGTTTTTAAAGACCATGAAAAGGAAAATAACACAAGGTAGAGAATTCATGAATAGATAATCACTTTGCACAGACAGTAAGCAGTGTTCCAATAAGCCCTGAGAAATAACTAATTAATTTTCCAAGTGAGCAAACATTATTTTGTAGTCCTGTAAGCCTAGGGAGAAATCTAAAGGTAGTGAATAGCAGTGTGTTTCTAATTTTCAAAAGAAGATTAAAAGGGCCCTTGGTCCTCATTGTTTAGCTACTTCAAGCCCTATCGAAAGAATAAAACCCAAATTAGCACAAAAAATAAATTTTCACTGTCCTGGAAAATAAGGAAGCAAGGGATAGCTTTTGTTTACAGTCAATTAGTAAGAATAAATTTTATGTCTTATTGATGAAGTAACAAAATGAATGTAAGATAAAGTACTCTAGATTCAGTTCCTTGATAATGATAACGTACTTGGTGAAACTTCCTACTATACCAACTTAAGATAGCTTAGGCAATAAGTCGATTGAGAACTTCCAATGGATGGAAAAATATATAAGTTAGTGAAAGCTATATGAATCAGAGGTAGAACCAATTAAATGTCCATGATTGAGAAAAGAGAATGTGCACTAAGAAAACAATTAAATTTCTGAACATCTGAATTTTGAATTATAGCAACTACAGGAACATAAGATGAGATCTCAAAAGATAAGAATTATCTGCAGAAAGAAAAAATTCATTGATCCTGGGATCAAAACTTAGATGAACATTATTTCAGAAACCCTGGGATAACTCTGGGTGTAAGGAATAGGTTCGAACCCACTTGATAAAGTCAATGATACAATATGAAAACAGAGAACTACTGTCCTCTGAAGATTCCAGAACAAATACAGCAGAGAAGGGATGTCCACCTTGACTTCTCGCAAGCCTGATTTTTACGGATCTCATTCTCCAACATGGAAAACAAAAACACAAAAATTTATCATGTCCCTAATGGTCCAAAGAATTCTTAGAGATCTGACAGGCTCTCCTAGGGGCTGTTACTGGCTCATTCTGTTCCCTTCAACACAGAGCCCAAGTTCTCCTCTTGGGTGGTTTGGGAACTTTGTGTTGCCTATAGTCATAATGATTCGTAATTATGCAACCATCAAAGGAGAATTTTCTGGTTTGCCTAGTCTAGACAACATCTTCAAAGTGAATGTTGAGGTTGTGAGACATCTGAACCAGAACCAAATACCACACATCACTGCTAGAGATACAGCAAAATACCCAGTGGATGAGTCGCAGGATGCTAACGGCTTTTGTTGCTGCTAGTGAACGTCAATATATCTGTGTCAGTTATTCTTCTCTCCAATCCACATAAGGAACTATGAGTTCATTTGGAAGATGCCACACAAATAAAACAAAATCTGCTGGCCACCCCAAAGTTATCTCAAAGTGTGGCATTCCCCAGGACTGGCATTGTAGCACAGAGGATTAAACCACCAGTCCATACAGGTATAGGTTACAGTCCCAGCTGTACCACTTCTACCTCAGAGCTCTACTGAAACACCTGAAAGCAACAGATGATGGTTCAAGTGCTAGAATTCCTGCCACCCACATGGGAGACCTGGATGGTGTTCCTGGCTCCTGGCTTAAGCGTGGCCTGCACCAGCCACTGTAACCATTTGTGCCTTAAGCCAGCAAGTGGGAGATTTCTCTCTCCTCCTTTCCCTTTCTTCTTTCTTTCTCGCTTCTCTCTCTCTCTCTCTCTCTCTTTCTCTCTCTCTCCCTCCCTTTCAAATAAATAGGTAAATCTTTTAAAAAAAGATTTTTTTAAAAAAAACAATTTGTGCCTATTCTCAACATTCTGCCCATGTACTTCTTTTTAACAACTTTTAGTTATTTATTTGTTTTCATTGTATTTGGAAAGTAGAGGCAGAGAGAGAGAAGGTGATCTTCCCTCTACTGGCTCACAACCCAAATGCTCAAAAGAGCCAAGTCTGTGCAAAGCCAAAGCTACGAGCTGGGAATTCAATCGGTCTCCCACACTGGTGGGCAGGGACTCAAGGACTTGGGCCACCATCTTCTCTCCCAATGGGTGCGCATTAACAGGAAGCTAAAACCCACAGTGGAGCCAGAACTCAAACCAGGCATTCTATTACAGAATGCAGGTGTCCCAAACTTAACCACTGTGCCAAATGTCACCCCCTTCATCTCTTAAATGTCCTAACTGCCTATCCTCACCACAGTAAAATCCAATTCTACCCTGAGTTGCAGAACAGACAAACCATATTCAAACGACAGCAATGTATAAGATTCAACACTTACCATCATCTCATATTTGGAATTTATTTAGGAAATGAAAACTCATTCTGTGGTTCCAGAAAAAAATTAATAAATGTCTCTAAATAGATGGTAATTTCATGTTTATCTTCAGAGAGATTTAGCTGCATTAGCAGCACTATTTCCCAACACCCATAATCTTCTAAATTGACTTATCTGATGCTCTTAGCATCTATTTGTTTGTAGACTTAAGCCTAACTACACACCCTTTTGAAATGCTCTCTGTGCTTGTGAATCTAACTAATATCATTTTGTCATTTGCTGCCATTTTTCTCAAGAAACAATATAGGGCAGGAAGAACCGTGTGGTACTGCTTCACATCAACCTCATGCTTTGATGCAAAATACAGAGGAGACATAAGGAAGAGAGCAGAAGGGAGGAATGAAGCTCTCTCCACATGAAAACCTTGCATGGTAGGCAAACAGATGCAATGTAAGAGGACAAGGTGTGGAGTCAATAGGAAATAATAGAAGAGTCTCTTGGTAGAAATGAGAGCTTCTGAGTAGTAATTAAGGGACTCAGACTTGGTTTGTTCCCTTTCATCAATGCTTTTCCAGAAACCTCGTCTCCATTCTGTCCCTGGCATTCTTAACTCAGCCAACCTTCTCTGGATTTTGTTTAATTGTCTTGCAGAAATCCAAATAAAAACAGCAAATTATTATGCTTTCTTCAAAACTGTCAATAAGTCCAAATTGTGTTGGACCATACTTGAAAGGGCTCTGGGGGAGACAGCCACTTCTGAACCACAGGCTCTCTGTATACCATGTGACCCACCATAACTGGGTTCTTGGGGAGAGTTCCTGCTGTTCCACTTTCGTTCAAGCTCCCTCGTCATCCAACTGGGAAAGCAGCAGAAGACTGCTCATGTTCTTGGGCACCTGTCACCGACGTGGGAAACTCGGAGTTCCAGCTCCAGGCTTCAGCCTGGCCCAATCCCAGCCACGGCGACCATTCGGGGAGTGAAACAACAGAAGGAAAAAGAGAGAGAGAGAGAGAGAGAGAGAGAGAGAGAACGCCTTTCTTTCAGTTGCTCTGCCTTTCGAATATATAAATCTTTTCAAAATTGTGCTCATTTCTACCAAGAGTGCTTTTCTTGTGGAATCTAACTTCATGCTGGAACGGAAAGGGAGAGTGCACATACACAGGTATGTGTAGTGTGTTCTTGTTACATTCTCTTTCGCTCTCACTCTCGCTCTCAATTGCATATGCTTAGCTCCTGAGCAAAGGTCTCTTACCTCTCATCCCTGTAAAGCAGGTTTTGAACTTTGCAACGAAATGCCAACCAAATCTCCGTAAATACGCTGGAATGCAACCTTGTGTGAATTGCTTGGAAACAATTGTCCTCATTTCGTCCCAGCAGAGCCTCCTCCACCGGTCCGAGCCAAGGCAGCCAACCCTGCAGACTGCGGGCATGTGTTTCCTCATGGGACAACCCATCAGACCCCTGCCACTGGGACCCAATCCACGTCCTTCCAAGGACGCTCAGGGCCAGTCTCCCGTCAAGCGCGTGGGACCAGTGGCAACACCTCCTCCAACTCATACCCTCGCTGTCCTTGGGCCGCCCAGAGTCCCCACGCCCAAGAAGGCGCCTCCATGTGTGTTCGCCCTCGCGCATCTCCGCCAGGGCAGTCTGGACAGCAGCGCAGCATAGGCTCCTTGGGGAATCAGCTCCAGGGCCAGTATACGCACAGGGCTAGCCCGGCCTCCCGCTGCCCTTAGCTCCTCACCTGCAGCTTTTCCCTGTATCCTTGCCCCTGGAGTTGCCCAGAACAGACTGTTTTACCAGATTCCCTCCCCCCGCCCCCCCGACCCTTTGGCGTACCAGCAAGGGAAGCAAACCTCCCCCTGGGGATTTGCCCCAAGTGGCAGGGCAGGGGTAAAATAAGCTTTGTTATTGGGAGGAGCAGAGTTACGAATGCCGTGTGTGTGTGTGTGTGTGTGTGTGTGTGTGTGTGTGTGAGAGAGAGAGAGAGAGAGAGAGAGAGAGAGAGAGAGAGTTGTTTTGCAGCGGGGCAGCGGAAAAATAATAAGCAGGGACGAGAAACAAGCAGAGGCTGAGGCTGGTGCCCCCAGCTCCCCTCGGGACCTCTGGTAGCCGTGCGCTCCGTAATTCCATTTCCAGAGCCGTACAGATTTCCACAAACAATGACATCACTCGGGCGCCGCCGGCCTGCTTGCAGCTGGGGGGATTTTCCTGGGTGCGCGGCGGCCGCCGAGGCGGAGCTGCAGGAGCGCGCCGGCTGCGGAGGGGACGGGGGGCGCGGGCTCGCGGCGCCTAGGCCCTCCCCTTCTCTCCCTCCGCGGAGGTGGCCGGCCGGGCCGGGCCGGGCCGGGCTGGGCTGGGGGCGGGCAGGGGCGGCCCAGGGCGGGGCCCACCACTTCTCCAACCCTCATTGGCCGCGGGCGGGCGCACGTCAGCCGGGCTGGTGCTCTCCTCCAGCCCCTAGGGAACTGGAGCCGAGGAGGAGCTGAAAATGCAGATTTAGCATCAAGCACAGACATACACTCGCTCTTTCTCTCTGGTACACACAGCTCCCCACGCTTGCACCCCTTACAGCGAGCCGGGTCGCCGGGCCACCCAGCTTTTCCCTCCAGCCAGGAGCCGGAGGGGAACGCACACTTGATTTGCTGCTCTTTAACCCCCTGTTCCGTCTCTTTCTCGACACAAAGATTTTAAAGAAAGAAAAAGAAACTATAAATATATATATATTTTTTATTTGCACCTTCCCTCCGGGTCCCCCTACTTCACCAGCCTGCGCGCCTCGGAGCCGCACTTTTCGCTCCCAAAGGAGGATGAAGGGTGGTTGTATCTCCCGCTGGCAGGCGGCCGCTGGGCTCCTCCTGTGGGTCACGGTTTTTGCATCCTCCGAGAGAGCAGTCTTCACGAATCATTTTCTTGTGGAGTTGCATAAAGGGGGAGAGGAAGAAGCTCGCCAAGTTGCAGCAGAACACGGCTTTGGGGTCCGAAAGGTAAGCTCTCTCGTGCATTTCGCATGTCGTTTGCCCAACGACGGGTAGCCCTGCGCAATCTCCATGCAGATTTGCAAGTTTTTCTCTTTCTCCTACGATGCAGATACTCTGCCATCGGCTCCTCCAACACGACATTGCCTCCGGTGATCTCTCACGGGTTATGTAATTAAAATGCCCTTCATCTGTACCAGTAAGGTCATCAAAATAATTTATTGCTCTATGACTTGGGGGCAAAAATAAGGCCACGTCTTTCAAAGGATGCTGTGCGCCCGGCTGCTGTCCGAGGTACCAAGTTCTCCAGGCTGCCTGGAGACAGACGGATGGAGCCCTGCACAACCGGGCTTGGCGTCCACTACCCCGCCAGGGACGACTCCCCTCCAAACCCCACCTCTGGTGAAAGAACAGTTTCAGAGCCACCGGGCCCAAAGCTTGGACGGTGCCCTCAGCGACCCCGCGCTGGGAGGACTTTCCTCCTTGGGACTTCGGTCCCTGCTCTTTCCCGGGAAAAGCCGCTCCAGACCGGGAGGATCTGACATAAGAGCTGGTCTCTCCCAAATCTGGGCGGAACTTCTGAGCCCTATTCCTCCCCTCACCCTTACCCCCTCCCCGCCTATGACTGCCCACCCCTGGATCATGCTCGTGGTTGGCTCCCTGGTCCTCCACTAGCGGCAGGTGTGGACTTTGAGTGGAATTCTCCACGGAGACGCGGAGGTGTCCCCTTCAGATGCGTGGGCAGCCAGCCTGGCTTTCCCACGACAGCGTGGGAATCCCCGTTGCCCTAAGTTGTCAAGAGTTCAACTGAGCAATTAGTGAAGGCTCCGGGTCTCCGATGCCTCTAGCCCCTTTGCAGACGCAGGGTGACCATTCTGAGACGACTTGGAGGAGAGTGCTGGCTGGGGACCGTGGCTGACATGCTTGCTCTTCCTTGGAAATATCTGTAATGGGGATCGCGAGTGTCCTTAGGGAACCTGGCCCGATTGCGATGCAGTGGGGGTTAAGGAGGTGCAGATCTGGAGCGAGGGGACACCAACAGACAGAAGGACACGATGTGGCTACCAGAGGCTGTGCGAGAGAGATTCCACGCCCCAGGAAAAGAGGCGGGACGTAAGCGCTGGGTGCTTCTGATGTTTGCTTTAACCTGGGGCTCCGACCAACTTCTTCTGTCCCTCCTTCCCACGCCTCTGGCTCCTAGCCCAGCCATCACTACCCCCGCAGATGCAGCGGGCTCTCCCACCTCCCTGCGATTTCGCCCCCGAGCTGATTCCTACCAAGTGCCCTGTCTGCCTTTGGCGCGCGGGTGGGTCTCGCAGAAGCGAACTTGTTGCTAGCAGGAGGCGTGGGTGGAGCAGGGGCGATAAGGCGCCAGTGGAGGGTGCAGCTCGCGAATGTAGCTGCCGAGCGCCTGGGGACCGTTTCAAGAACACCCCTCAACACAGTAAAGGAATATATTCTGCCTTATTACCCTGTGCTAAACTTGGGGCTGGGGGCGGGGAAGGGCGTTAGAAACACAGTGCTGATTGTCATTAGGGAACAAGTGTAGGAACACTGAGGTGCTGTGGTCCTTACATGAATTTCTCATCTGATCTGGCAACCCTTAGAGGAGTACTATTAATGAGACTGATCAGGAAACGGGTTCAGACAGAAGCCCAAGTTAAAAATAGGTAAGGATTGAAAAACTGATCTTTCTGAGTTGAATCCCATGTTCTCTTCCTCCTTGGTCCACAGGAAGCCAGGTGCTGACAGCTATTCTGGGAGTTAGGATATGCTGAGAATGGATGTGGCCCTGGATTATTTCATCCTTGGGTGTAAAGGGCTGCGGCTGATACAGAAAGACCTGTGACTCGCTCCTCTAGGCATGTACCGTTGCGTGGTGTGGGTACTGTCCTCATTAGTTTTATCTCCTCTTTGCTTCTCCCTTTTAAAACTGCTCTTAGGCTCTGACCTCAAAAACTTAACCAAATCTTACTGTAGTGGAGAATAATGCCCTAACTTACGAATTTACCCAGAGGTTACTCACTGTTCCATGCAGCAATAAACAGATTATTGAGAAATTCAGTTAGTTTGTTACTTGGGGGGCGGGGGGCGAGGGTCTAAGGATAATACAAGAATCATTTCTATACCTTAATCCCTTAATCTTTAAATCTCAGGGAGCTTGTCCTTTTGAGGCAAAACCAAATAACTAGGCCTCTTACTACCCCATTCTTCCTGGGAGAGGAGCCCTGATTTTATTCAGACACCCAGATCTGAAGAAATGGATTTTTTTTTCCCCCTGGCCATCTCTCTTCACCTCTCCATAGTTCGACAGGTGGTAACCTCTAACCTAAATCCAGTGAGGTAACAGTCTGACAGGATACTCCCACCCTGATGAGTCTGCAGGGTGTAACTGACACCTGTCAGGATAACCCTGCTTTTTCTTTGGACTCAGTTCCTGTCCACCTTTCAAGATCTGAACCGCAGAACCCCCTTGACTCCATTGCACTAAACATGTGGGGGACCAATAAAGAGAAAGTCTGCACTACAGAAACTAGTGTGTTCCACTGCTTGCCTGCATCATTTCACACAAGTAAATACATTTCAGGAGAGAGGGGACTGCTACTCTGGAAATGGAACTACTAGGGATGAGAGCATCTGGTTTCCTCCGATAACTACTCCCTCTCTGTTCTTGCCAAAGGAAAGTGCCTTAGCTGTACTGATTAGTTCAGGCTTCTCAAACATTGTTTTCTGGTCTTTTTCTGTACTTTTACATACATTTGTTACTCGCTGTGCATTTGAAACCTTCAGTATGTCCTTCCCCTATCTTACTCTGATTTCAAGCAGCATCCCAAACTCCCTGCTTCTCTGTTCCCCCATCCCATACAACATGTCCGACACCAAATATTCTCAGTGATTATTTATTATTGGCCCTTGTGAGGAGTCAGAAATATAAGCTAGCTGAACCTGCTATTTTTCCTCAATTGTGCCACAGTAATCTCACAAGCCTATGGAAGGAATAACTGCATCACCCATAAGTCTCAACTAAAACTCTTAAAGCACCAAGAGGTTAAGTAACTGATAATATCTGCTAAGTGAAAAAACTCATTTAAAATAAAAAATTGCTTGACTAAAAAATAATTTTTCTACATCATGCTCCTGAATGCCTCTTGAAGGCACGGTTTTAGATTTGTGATATTTTTCCTTTCATTTTAACTTTTTGTATACTCGCTATTTATCTGTTATTAACATAGAAACATAAGTCATCAAATAATGCTTATGTTCATGTTCTTATTCAAGTTCACTTTTCCCAGAAGAGACAAGGCATATGAATTTTTACAGCCTCTATATATAGCATGGTGACCTGAATATGAGGTATTCAATAAATATTTATTGATTATTTGATATTTCCAATACCATGAGCAAAACTGCTCATTTTCTCTCTAAAACGGAGTAAAAATACTACAAACTTACCACCACCACTTCCACAAAAGTTTATGTAGATTGAAATTTTCTATTATATCATGACCTGGTCCTGGCCCATATATATGCTATGTCCGTTACAGAAGATACACATCTTGAGGAAAATGAGTTTACAGTGATCACAGACATGGTACCGCAAAGGGTGTCATAATAATCCAAGTGCTACTACTTTTAGTTCTATTAAAACATAAAACAAAAATTATTTATTAAAGCAAAAATGTTGAAATGTGATAAAAAAAATCATAAAAGCCAGAACAAATTTAAGGCAAAAGAAAAACCTTATAATTCAGTATTATTGTTTCATTATAGTCTGCTCTATTGATTGATTGATTGATTATTTACTGAGGGCTGAGCCTGGTTTGATTATACAAGTAAAGTAATGGAAGTTTTATATGTGTGAGAATGTTAAAAATTATGTAGTTATTTGAAAGGCAAATACAGAGAATGGAGAATGAAGGAGAGAGAGAGAAGGAAGGAAGGAAGAAAGGAAGAAAGGAAGGGAGGAAGGAAAGAAGGAAGGAAGGAGGAGAGAGAGAAATTTGCTGGTTCACTCCTCAAATGGCCACAACAGCCAACGCTGGGCCAGGCTGAAGCCAGGAGCCAGGAATTCCAACCAGGTCTCCAACATGTGTGGCAGGAGTCCAAACACTTGGGCCGTCTTCCACTGCTTTCCCAGGTAGTAGCTGGTTAGGAAGTGAGTAGCCAGGTCTTGAACTTGCACTCATATGTGATGCTTATTTTTAATTCTCAAGTCTGATAACAATTATACTGTCAAGTACTGAATGTAAATTTCTGATCATTTTGCTTTCATGGAAGTGTAGTATCACTTAGGAAAGAGCTCAGCTTAATAAATTTGTGCAAACAGTGCATACGTGTGTAACTACTCTAAAGTAAAAAAATGTTTTGCTTATCTGGGTGGTTTTCAGGTTTGGACCATTATATAAATGTTGTTTTTCTGCATGCTGAAGTACAGTTGATCCTCCATGTCTGGGAACTCGGCTTCTATGGACTTAACCAAATCTTAAAAAATATTTGGGAAAAAAATCAACTCTGCACTAAAAGCATGCAGCCTTTTTCCTGTCATCATTTCCCCTTCAGCACAGGGTAACCATGGTTCTTACAACATATGCCTTCCATTAAGTATTGCAGGCAATCCAGAGATGATGTCAAGTATATAGAAGTATGTGCATAAAGGATATGCATGTCCTGCACCATTTTGTGCATGACCTGCACTTCCAGAGGTTTGATAATAACAAGTTGACTGTTTAGCAAATACTCTTCTCCTGGAAAGCAGCATGGATTGACTTCCATAGCCATGATAATTGACTGGATGATGAATCTATACCTAGTCCATCAACAACTCATCCATAGGATAACCAAGGTCCATGAAATGATATGGTTCAAATATTTCAGTGAACTTCATTTAGAAGGAATCATAATTTTCTCAGCCAATAACACAGATTCCCACAGGAAATTTTGCTGGCTAGTTGATATAGAAAAGAGAATAGAATCCATTCAGACAAAGGGGAGGCTCAAACATTTTGTGT